ATTCGAAATTTATCACAACGTTCGATGTACATTTTCTGACCAGCAGATTAGTACGATCCAGTTAACAAAAGAACACAACAATTCAACAATGAACGTAGCCGGCCTGAGTACTAAACCACGGTTTCCGGCTTCGCAGCCAACAGCAGTTCCGCATGCAGCTGCTCCTGAGCGTCCTTGATCTAAAACGATATTGTCATAAGCGAAACTTCCGTTAAAGAGTACGAACCTTCCGAGCCTCCTTTTCAACCGTGGCCAACTGCTCCTCGTGCACCTTGTGTAAATGGTCCAGCATTTTCTGGTGTTTGACGGCCAGCCGCTTACGCTCTTCGAGAAACAGCTTACAGTTCTTCTCCTGCACCTCCTTCACGCGACGATCTCGCTCTGCCTTAGTTTTGATGTTTTTGTCCATCTGAATGGCCTTTGAATCTTCCATAGACTGTTTGGTTTGCTTCTGCCGCAAGTATTTAAACTCGCTAAAGAAACAACATGCTGATGCGACGACAAGAGGTAAACAACAAACGAGGACAATGCTTTCAGTACTTGTCGAGTCGTTGCCGGAAGGAAGACACCTGCTGCCGTTGGACGCCTTCCAAAATTTTTACCATCAGATTCCATTCCTCATCGATTTGGGCTACGCGCAGGCGGTGCTCGTCATCCGCTTGACGGCGCATCAGTTCGGACCATGTCTTGGTCTGTACCGCGACCGCTGTCTTCACGTCAGCACAACGGTCAATCGGAAAAACGTCAGACGGTCCCACAGAAGAGACATCTGATGACTCGTTCACAACTTCGCTGGGTGACTGTCGCGTTGAGGACTCGTTTCCCTGCGACGAAAACGATGAAACAGCCGTGTGTGCCATCTTGCTGCGACGATCCTTGACCATCTTCTCGATCGCCACCGCCTGCTGATTTTGCATGGCCAAGCGCTCCTTGACATGACGCCTCTTCAGGTCTTCAAGTACCTTCGTGTGGTGCTTTGACAGCTTGACAAACAGCTTGTCTTTCTTAATCTCGTCAAAGCACACTGGTTTCACTTGTTCGATTACCTGCTTATCTACAATACACCTTTATGCATATCTACTAGATAATACTGTAATGACGTAAGTGTAAAAGACCTGCTCAGGTACAGATATTGTGACAGATGGCAATAGCTACTTGTAGAAAGTAAATAATTTTCATCACTTGTTGTTCGTTACCAGTCATCTAATGTCATGCTTCTCATATATGTTATATGGTCCACACAGTAAATGAAGTATAACGACTAACGTTTACGCAAACACACCATGACGAACGTAAGTTCTGACATACGCAAATTACCGAGAAAGAACTCGTAAAATAATTTATAGCTATAACACTTTTAGTTAATGCGCCGAGGTTACTCAAACGCCACATGAGAGCCGTCTTCTACAAAGCAGACAGCATATGCGATGCATTCCTCAGTCTCGCTTTGTTTATTATTAAACATGGACGTGCCGTGTATTTGAATTCATAGATACAATAACTGCGTATATACACATATGTCTGAATAGTTACTGGCCATCCAGCGCTTCCCCGTGCTGCGGATTGGTTAACGACCTCCAAAAATAGGTTAGTTGCGATAAAAAGCGACTGCGGACAGGCAGCGGTGAGACTGCCAGAGCTTGGCTGGGTTCCAGCTTGCCAAGTTCGTTACATAGAAGAATGCTGAAACGTCTAAAGACAATCTCATGAACAGGTGAAAGCGACCTGTCCCAATGAAGAAACAAGGCAGCTTTGTAGTTAAACATCAGCTCGTCAAAGGCTTCGATAAAAATCCGGACGGAATTCAGGAGGGGGGTTGTCCGTAAGAAATTCCCCAAGTTACCATCAGCTCAGAGGGTGGCGAAACTGCATGCACTACGACAGCACTAACTGCCCGCGCATTCTTCGCCGAATACCGACGAAGTGATATAGTCTAGGTGATGCAGGAGTTTACCGCGGGTTACAAGATCATTACTAAATTTACCCATATATCTAAATCTCAGTACTGTTAGCTGCATGTTTAAGTTGACGCCATGGCTTTGATGTAAGATGACGCTTTGGGGTAATATGATAAAAACGACATTACCACTCTGGACGGAAACATATCCAGCAGAGAAGGACGCTACCCGTATAAAGGAACATGTGAAAACATCTGCCACTTTCCCTCTATTCAATCATCTTTCGAAAACTTCATAAGGAACTTTTAGCTTAATATTTTCTCATACCTTTTATACCGTATCACACTGCATTACAATAAGAACTACATATTGAAATAAAATTTGTGTGACCATGTGAACGAAAGTGACAGGAACAATCTTTAAACATGACAGATTAACGCATCACAATATGTACGTATTCAAAACAGGAAATCAACAGGGTATGATTGGCGGGTGCAGTGGGTCGAATTCGACTAACGTAATCTCATGAACGGGCGAAAGCGACTGGCCCCATTAAAGAAACAAGGCAACCAATGTCACAGGTGAGCTGTAGTTAAACATCGGTTCGCCAAAGGCCGTTAGGCTGTTAGGCAAAAGTTTGCAAAATGTAACACGTATATGAGTCGGGTCCTATTTGTACATGACAGCGTACTAAAATCAGGAATGATGGAGCGTACTTCCGTCACCCAGTAGGACAGCCTCTAAGTCAGACAGAAAGCTGAAAAGGTACTCGACCTCAAATGGCAGCTAGCGAGATATTTAATTACAAATCAGAATCACGTTCACTAATAGA